TCTGTCTCTGGTGAATCCTCTCACCCTCCGCATCTCTGGCCTGTACCCCAGTTCTGTATGAATAAATAAATAAATCTTAAAAAAAAAAAAGTACAGTACAATGAAGCAATCCACAGCCACTGCAGGACGAGCTCATTCCCTGACCAGGGAGTTGATGGCGTGGGCGACTTCTCCTGACCTGCTGCTGCTCCCCTCAGCAGTGTGGTCATCAGTCTGCCTGTTATGCTCCCCACTTCGTCTCTAGTGAATCCTCTCACCCTCTTGCACCTCTGGCCTGTACTCCAGTTCCATATGAATAAATAATAAAATAATCTTTAAAAAAAATTTTAAAAAGAGAACACAAACAGGTATGCCACTTTTACTAATACTGTTTTGAAAATAGTAGCTAATGCAATTTAATATCAAAAGGAAAGAGGTTAAAATGCTGGTTAAAAAGATGAAATGATTGTAGATGATGGTCTCACTAGAAATGTCAAGAGAATCACATGGAACATAGAATTCATAATATCAGGAGGTTCACTAGATACAAAAGACATGTATCTTAAAAACATCAATCACCTATTATCTGTTAACCTATTATAAGAAACTCTGGAGATTAGAGATTACATTCAAATAGTGATAATTTTGTGCTTGTTAAAGGTCAGAATTTATGTGAGGAAGCGACAAGAGTACTAGACAGCACTTTGTGAAACCTCAAAAATATATCTACATATACTTTGGCTCAAATTTCTAGCTTTCCTCAGATTAGTTGAAAATAAATATAACACTTTCCTCACAGGGAGAGTACTGGTGGCTAGATGTTAAGAGTTTAATATAGAGTCAGGAGTTTTATTTGGTCAAAACAAAGCAAATTATTTATTAATCATCTATTATATGCCAGGTCCTTTTGGTGCTGGGGATACAGCACTGATCAAAATAGGTAATACATCAACAGTACCAACAAATACCTAAAATACACGGTGTGTTAGACAGTGAAAAGTTCTCTAGGAAAAAAGTGAAGATGAGGAGAGGCAGGAAGTACTGGGGAGTGAAGACTTTTTAAGTTTACAGCACGGTGGGGGAACACCTCATGAGGCGAGAGCTGTTGAAACACCAGCTATTGCGAGCTTAGTGGAATCCTCAAGGGAAGAGCCTACCAGGCAGCAGGAACAGCACATGCAAAGGTCCTGAGGTAGAGCCTTGCTTGAGTTGTTGGTTAAAAGGCGAGCGAGACAGTAACTGAGCCAGAAAATCGGTCAGGCAGTGGAAGGCATTGCACTATTATTATTAAGTATAAAAAACATTTTGAAGACGTTAACGGAAGCCTCCTAGACTGTAAACGCCTTTGTGCCAACAATCTCCTAGGTTTGAGAATCTAGAAACGGTGAACGAGAAATATCTGACAAGGCAGCAGGAGCTCGGGAGCGGTCCAGGGCGTTTCTCTCCCAATTCCGTTTACAGGGTCACTAAAGCCCCGAGCTCAGAGCCAGAGATTCCTCTCTTAACGCATCAACTCGGACACTCAAGGTGCCACCCCAGCCGGGACCCCAATTTGACTCCCCTTTCTAGTCCAGCTGAGTTCCCACTTCCACGTCCTAGTTCTCCAGCGCTGGAAATCGCTCCTACGCCTACTGCGCCGCTGTGGTTTCTGGGAACTGTAGTTCCGTGTACTCGAGCCACACGCACTTCCGGGTTCGACCAGAAGCGCAGCCATTGTTCCGCGCGCGGACGCTCGCTCTTGCCGCGTATCTCAACCCTTCGGAGGTTACCCCGAGCGTCCCTGTGGATGCCGACCAAGGGAGGGGGCCGAGCCAGTTTAACCCGAGTCTGTCCTGTGCAGAGTCGCAGCAGAGGGTTGCTAAGCCGAGTTCTGCCTGCCGCAGAGCGGTGCCAGGCATCGAGGCTGGGGCGGGCCCGAGTCGGGTCGCTAATCCCCGGACGCCCAGGTTGGTGAGGGCGGGGCAGCGCTGAGCCTCCCTGGCGCGCATGCGCAGGGTCTAGGCGGGAACCTGGTTCGGGGATGTGGTACTTGCACGGGCGGCACTTCACGGAAGTTGGTAGGGAGGCTGAGGCAGCTCCTGATGCAGGGAGTGTGTCTTACGCGCGTGCGTGACTGTTGCTTGGTCAGGTGGTGTTCTTAGAATGCCCAAGTTGGTGCTAGACGCGTCCAGTGCACGCATGCGGGAAGAGCCTGAGAACCCCGCCTCTCCTCTATGGAAGGCTGGGTCTTAGTGGGGGTCCTGAGCATGACTGGCGTGATGGAATACTCATTTGCAGATTCTGGTTCCCGGATGCTTGAAAGGGGAGATGAGATTCTGGACATTTAGCTCTGGGACCCAGGAGCAGGCCTGAGGGCGCCCCTGGTAGTGGAGAGACCACATTGGGTCTGCAAATTCTCGCCCAGGAGCGGTGGTGTACTTCAGTGAACCCTGGATGGGAATCACTCATGGGCTGCTGCAGACTCCTAAGTTGGGACTTAGAAGCAGATTCTAGGCAAAGCGCTCCCTGCCTGTGACGTGGGTGTCTGAATGGGAAAGTTACTTGGACAGACCTGGGACGCATTGACCATCATTCAAGTTTGGTGAAACTTTAGGTTGGAGGTAGAAATTCCGAGTTGCAGTAGTTGAGGTGAAATCAATAGCGGTTTGGCTCCATTTTGAAGTGGGTGTTTCTGGAATCTTTGCTCAGGGGTTCCCAGCTCTGCTTGCAGTCTGAGGATGCTCAGGTTACAGAGGGACAGTCTGACTGCAGATTCCAACCTGAAAGGGCTGTACCTTGCAAGGCACCCTAGGGTCCCCATTTTGGCCACAAGAAGGGGAAGGTGTTATTCTGATAGGTATTGCCCTCTCATGAGCTTGTGAAACCCTAGGTGAGTGCTCAAGCCCTGGGTCTGACTCTGGGGCTCTGTGCCCCAGCTACAGTTGGGTATCCTAATGTTCTGGTGGCAATCAGGCAAGTGGGGCAGGTGACCCCAGAACCCTCAGGAAGATCATGGGTGTGGGTGTCCCATAAGTTGAGGTATAGAGTGGGGGCTATAGTTTCTCATCTCAGGAACAGGGAATGGCAGACGGCCGGGGTCCTGAATGTAGACTGTGGGCATGAGCCTGCCCTGCGTGTGCATAGTGCACTGCTGCGGCAGAGGAGCTGCCTGGGTGGGTGACCTCTGCAGTGCCTGTTGGAAGAGAAGCCTGAGGCCCCAGGCGGGGTTGCAGGTCTCGGGAGAGTGGGAGCTGCTCCAGCTGCACTCTGCACTTGCCCTAACATCTGGGCAGAATGGGGAAGCCTGGGCAGTTCTAGGGCCCTGTTCTTGCCTGAGGATACCTTCAGTGATGGGAGCAGCTGAAGATTCGGGGTGGCAGAGAAGTAGAGACCTCTGCTCAGGTGCACAGGTGCACCCACTGCAGAGGTGACCCCCAGTCACAACCTGACAGTGCCTAGATGGAAGGACCGGCTCTCCCTGAGCTGCAGGTGCCCAGGAAGACATCTGGGCTGCAGTCTGGACTGGAGGCTTGAGTAGGACTTTTGGAAGTTGGTGGCAGAAACGATTTGGGTGCAGGTCCAGGGTACAGTGTTGTGAATCATGGCCGGGAGGGGGTGGGTAAGAGGAAGAGCGGGCAGAATTCACCAGGGGCTGCTCTCTTCTGACCCAGAAACACTAATTATTATGAACGCAACTGTCCTACTGAGGTGCATATTGGGGGCCCAGGTATCTGTTCGTGGCCTGCGGGTACTGGTATTTGTCAGGGTACCCCCTGTCCAGTCACTGTTGTCAGGGCCTAAAGGACTCCCAGAGATTGGTGGCATGGCCAGGATGGGCATCTGGGCTGGTGCTGTTCTATTGTGGCCTAGTCCGGAGAGCAGCTGAATTCTGTGCCACAGGAAAGAGGAGATGCTTAAGAGGGTTTGTGGAGGTCCAGGTCTGGTTAATGAAGCATAAGAGGATCAGTCTTAGGCACTGGGTTGGCCCCCAGCAGCACACCGGTGTCATGAGCTTCGTGCGCTTATTCTGGGAGTGTGACTCTGGGCCCTCTATCCCAGATCCTGCTGCTCGCCCTGGGAAGAGGTACTGCCCTGGGGCTGCAGAGGCAGGCCAGGGTGGAAGGGTTCTCAATGTATGTGTTCTTTGTGGGGGCCTTAGGGCCCAGTAGAATAGAGAGGGACTGATAGATGGTGCAGATTTTGGCAGTGGATCAAAAGCTGCCTGGGCATGCGGTTGGCTTGTGGGAAGGTGGTCCACAGACCTTTGAGTTTGGCAACTAGGCAAAACCTGCAAAGTCAGAGACTGCGGGAGGGACAGAGCCTCTCCGTGCACATGTAACCATTTGGGCAAAGATCTCAGAAGCGCACTTGCCACAGTACTTCTTGGGAAGCAGGTAGATGCAGGGGGACCTGCTGGAGGTGCTGTGCTTAGGGCTTTACCCCTTGTGCTCTGGACCTCAACCCCCAGACCTGGAGGAGAGCATGGAAGAACAGGATGAGAAGCCTCCAGGACCCCTGAAGGTCTGTGCGCAGGTGAGTGCAGGAGCTTCCCTTCTCCCGTGAGACGCAGCTCACCCCCACTCGTGCCCTACAGCCCAACCCTCTGGGCTTGGGAGGTGTCCCAGCTCTCTTTGGTACCTCCTGAGAGCCAGGTTTCTGACACTTACGCCCTGTACATGGGTGAATCTCCTTGTATCTCTCCCCATTCAAATCAGCTAACTCTTTCGGTGAGGCTTTTGGCATCCTGTATTGAAAGCCCACAGCATACCGATTCCCCTTGTGGCCAGCAACTCACAACTTTGTTGAAAATAAATTGGAAATAGCCCAGATGGACAGTGCGAGGGGAGAGCTAAATGAATTAAGGCACAATGGAAGGAATACTGTGGCCGTGGACAAGAATGCTGACTTAACTGAGCATAAAGCTATGGCAATAGTTAGACAAGGTGTTTACTAGGTCTCAGAGTTGTGATTTGAAACTGGCAGTCTGACAGATTTTATTCTGAGAGATATCCCAGCCAATATAAGTTTGGATGTTTTAGTTTATATAGACAGGGGCAGTGAGTCATTGGCATTAAAAATAAATTGTTCTTTTCATGTAATTTTGAATTTTAATTAATTAAATTTAATTAGCATTTTGGCTCCTCCATATGTGCACATGTTCCACTCACCCTCCACCCAATCACCCATGCAAATACCTCCTCTGCTTCCCTCTCCTCTTCTCACTCTCCTGTCTTTCTTCTGGTAACAGTTAAGTTCTTTAAGTTCAAGATTTGTTTTTGCTGCATGTTGCCTGTGTATGTTTTTTTTTTTAAGATTTATTTATTTATGCTTACAGAGCTGGCGTACAGGCCAGAGGTATGGTGGGTGAGAGGATTCACCAGAGACAGAGTGGGGAACAGAACAGGCAGGTGTACCGAAACATGCTGCTGAGGGGAGCAGCAGGTGGGTCAGGAGGGGTCTGCCGTGCCATGTGGGTCGGCTCCCTGGCCAGGGATTGGACTCGTGTTGTAGGGGCTTCTGAGGGCTTCATAGTGCAGGGCTTTCACCATTGCGCTACCAGAGAGAGCCCGCCTGTGGATGTTTTCAGGTTATTTATATCCCACAAATGAGTGAAACCATCCTATCTTTCATTTTCTGACATTTCACTTAACATAATCACCTGGAGATTTATCCATTTTATCCCAAAAGCCACTGCTTCATCTTTTTGTGGTTGTATAGTATCCCATCACACACATATATTTATATTTATATAGTTATATATATATTTAAGGAATGTTTCTGTTTTTAACAACTGAAGGAAGGGGGTGATCTTATATCTCTAAGTCATACATAATATTACAAACCAGTGTTATCTCAATTTTTAAAAAGTTACAGATATATGTTATTTTAAAAATGTAATTTTTCCTAACCTAAAGATGTCAGCTGATGCTGGAGGAAAGCAATATCTACAGGATGAGATGCTAAGGCTGGGTCTCCATTGTTAAATCTTTTATTTGACTCCCTGGTCATCAGTGAATATGAAAACAGAAATTTTTCTTTCAGATATCAGATATCTGCTGTTCCAGATGGAGTCTGTGAAGATAGCTTTGCTTTGTTGCCTGCTTGACCAGGGGCAGGGACCTCAGAATATTTAATAATATGTTAGTATTACTGACATAAAATGCATTTTTGATCTATGTGAAGTAAATAGCATTTAAAAGTCTCTTTTCAAAAAGGGATTTAGTTGATGTGTTTACAGAAAACATTTGAGACTATGAAACACATAAAGGGTTAAAGGATTATCTGTGAATTTCGTTCAGGTCACTATGTTTTTTTTTTTTTTACTTTTCTTTTTTCATGCTTTTGTACAATGCATCTTAAGGTGAAATGAACAGTTTCAAACACATTTTCCTATAGTAAATATTATTTGAAAACATCAAATCTCTGAAAAGTGTTAAATTGGAATCTCTCCCCTTCCTGAGCAACTCAGCTCTGAAGCCATTAGGTGGGCAGAGCTGGGTTAGCATCAGCATCAGGCAGCTGGGCTGCCTGCTGTGGGGTGTCACAGCCTGATCAGGGTGAGGAAGTTCCTTTTGCAGAGGTTAACAGGTGTGGCTGAGGAGCCTCTGTGTGGGAGAGCAAGTGGCAGGGCCTCGGAGTTGAGAGGCTACTTACTTATGGAGTGAATCAGCTAAGTATAATAATGGCAGGGCAGCCATGTTTTGCACCTCTGGAAGGGGAACACGTGTGCCCCCTAGCTCCCTTTCTCCATCGTGAGGGTCCGGGGACAGTGACATTTGGCACTGATGCACACACCCCTGGCCCAAATTTCAACTTGGAAATATCTCCCCCCCCCCCAGGTTTTGTTGTTGTTGTTGTTAATAAATATATATATATATATATATTTTTTTTTTTTAAGATTTATTTATTTATTCATACAGAACTGGGGTACAGGCCAGAGATGCAGAGGGTGAGAGGCTTCACCAGAGACAGCGTGGGGAGCAGAACAGGCAGATCGACGAAGTACACTGCTGAGGGGAGCAGCGGGCGGGTCAGGAGAGGTCTTCCTCACCTTGTGGATCTCCCCCTGGGCAGGCAGGGATCAAACTCATGCGGAAGTGGCTTAAGCTTCTTAGTGCAGTGCTTTAATCCACTGCGCCACCAGGGAGGGCCCCCACTCAGGTTTTAAAGATTTCCTGTCAGTGGTTATCCACTGGATATTTAGTGTTCAGTTTTTGGCTGTTCCAGATAGAGCTACTGTCAAGTGACTTTGTGTCTGTCAAGTGGTCCCATGTACACACATTCAAGAGTTTTGGAGGGAGTGGCACAAATACAAATTTAGACTCACATCTTTTGTCAAAGCTATAGGTGTAGTGTATTTTGTTGTGAACGTTGATGTTCTTTGAGCTAGCAGTTGTGGTGTCTCTAGGAATCTTCATGGCCCATTGGCCATTTTCTCATATGTGCTTTAACTGAGCTGTCTGTGATTATTTCTACTGTCATCAAATGAGTGCTTACTACCTAACCAGTGCAAGGCCTTGTGTGAGGCGCCCGGTGGTTGCATGTGGTGGTGGAGAAAATGGGAGATGCGGATGAAGGGGTACAAAGACTCACTTATGCAGGATGAATAAACCCTGGGGCATTAATGAAGGTTGTTAAAGACACTCTACTGAACTCTTGAAATTTGCCAAGAGGATAGATCTTAAGTGTTCTCACCACACACCAAAATATCAGAACTGTGTGATGTGATGATTTTGTTAGCCGACTGTGGTTCACACTGATTCATTTCACACTGTTTGAAGTGTGCACACCTTAAATATACTTAGCTTTCATTTGTCTGGCACAATGAAACAAATGTGTAAAATAATAAGTTGCTGGTAGTAAAAGGTAAATAAAAATGCTTAGAATACCGAGAAATGGGAAGTAAAGGCTTTTCCTACCAAACCTTGCACGTAGCTCAAGATATGGTTCACACTGGGCACCTGCTCATTACTGCAGAGAATACAAAAATGAAAAACTCACAGCTCTGTAGAATACAGAATTCATGGCTCCAGGAGTGATAGATGGAGACGGAAGTGTGTATTCCAGTGGGCAGATGATTTTACCGGCACAGTAAAGGTTCAATAAAAATCGCAAAGAGGCCCTCCCTGGTGGCGCAGTGGGTTAAAGCACAGCACTGAGAATCTAAAGCCACTTTGGCATGAGTTCGATTCCTGCCTGCCTGCCCCGGAGGTGACCACATGG